TTAAAAAAAAGAGAATGTAAAAAATGAGGTGTTTTAGAAAGTAGATTTGTGTCAACGATGAAGAATTTGTTTCTTAGTGTATTTGCATAGTGTACGCCAGATCTGAAAGACACACAAAAAGGCGCAAAGCCTTGAACTTGGGAATAATTGCACATATGGGCTAATTTATATGTGTATTTTCTTTTGTTATTTATTGTGTAGTTGCACCATATATAGACTATTAAATAAACTAACCGAAAGTCCCTATCTGGGTATGGCTCAAAGACCCTGAAGATCATAGCTTGGGGTACGCTTAGGCCGAATGCAGCGATCCAGCCAATCACTAGCAGGCGTCTACAGCGTAGATAAGCACGTCTGTGGGCATTGATGGAACTGGAATGGGTAAAACTTATTTTTGTAGTTTAAAGGAAAAAGTGATTTGTCACCATCTACGAAATTTATCTGAAAAAATATCGTTTTGGGGCATATACGGAAAACTTCTATTTCCATCTTGTATTGACCATTTGACATTAGCGCAAAATAATTAATAAGAAACTGATTAAGGATGAAAATTACTTTCTTCTACTTACCAAGAAAAAACTACCGAATTGAAGGATAGGATAATAGTTATCTTAAGCGATTTAATCGGTTCAGAAGACAGTTAAAGGACAAGACAAGTTCTAAGCTTTAAGAGTACGTAAGTTCATTTATATCTTCTTCAGCTTTACGTAGCTTTTTCATCGTGATTTAGACCACTACAATACTTACCCTTTTAGGCTAAATCACAATATTATGTATTGCGATATATCATTTACTCTTCCGTTTTGTTCATTACGCTCTTTCAGCCTTGTTCTCCCTAAAGACCATTAAAATCCTTGCCAATTCCTCGTTTTCTCCCTTTTCCCTCTTCTTTTATTCTCAAACAACTGCTCTTTAATCCCTGATCTCACTTCACTTCGTCTTCTTCGCTCGAAGCAACGCAGCGTAATTAGTCTTAAGTAATTAGGTCCGTAGTGAATTATAGCCTCTCCTCACAAAGAAAAATTCTCGATGGTGAACTAACCTCATATTATATGCACCGAATACTCTGTCGATAGCGATACAAGCAATAACGAAGGAGTTCGCATAGAAGGAGAATGTTGAGAAGAATGAACATAAGCGGCATAGTAATTCACCACCGTACCACTGAAAATATGAAAATTTGAGAAATAAAGACGATAAGCTAAGAAAATACTAACTTTTTAGTGCTGAGTTTGAAAAGACGCAGAAAATTTTGAAAATTTCCATGATTATCCAAGCTTATAGTTCTACTAAGCTAACTATCAAAGTTGAAAAGGAAAAGCGAAGTATTTCCAAAGTTTCTATTTCATACGTTATCGATTTGTGCCGACTTGCCTTTTTTATCATTTTATTAATCTTCTATTACTCTTAGAATCGAAAAAAAATGCTTAACCTGTTTTAGCCCAAAATCTTATGTAGTTTGTCAATTTTTTAACATTATAATCAGAAAAATTCTCCATCTGTAATCAAATGCGTTCCCCAAATAATCTCTGCGTAAAATTAAGCATTCTTGTACTTCGAAATCTTGTCAAGGCTGATGGAAGTGCAGTAATGGCTAAATGGATCAGATATCAGATCTCCTGCCTGTTTTTTTTTTACATAAGGGCGGTACAAAGTCGTAAGACTTCAGAGCGCTGTAAGTGCTATTGAATTACTTAAAAACCTGAAAACTGGTTTGATGATATTTTACGCGAATTCTAATTATAATCGCTATTTCAGTCTGTCCTTCGCCAAAGTTATTAGCGCTAACTTCCGCAATTGCGCCGCTTTTCCATCTAAAAATTTTACTGATGCTATGGTAACCGCCAAAGTTTTAAGATCCTTTAATAAGCGAAAAACAGAATCTGAGTCAGTCCTTTATTTATATCGATAAAGTCTATGGTCGTAGTATCGGGTGATAAAAGAGTTGTTGATAATCGAGAGATTGCTATTTTTGGGACATATAGTATTGCATAACGGGAAGAAAGTCGCGAAAAAGCGGAAAAAAAGAGTGTTCTTATCAAGATGTGGATTTTTTTGCGAAGGGACTCAGCACAGCACTGAATCGCAAGAGACGAAATTGAAATCAGAAAAATTACTATTATGACTGCTCAATCTCTACAGTAAAGACGGAATTCTTGGTCATTAGTCAATTTCTGGATAGAATTTGCGAGTGCTTGGAAATTGAGGGCACAGGGAAGTCCTTGCCGTGTAGATACTGTGTAAAAATAATTTCGTCAAAAAGCCAAGCAACTTTTATTGCACCGTTAGTCTGCTGTTTGCAGATTGAAGCGTTAGAGTTTTTCTGAATGAATTTACCCAAAATTTTGAATGCACCCATGTTCGCTAAATAATTTCCACAAAGGTA